AGTGTGGATTTGAGGAAGTTAGAACATTGAACCAAGACGGGACAGAAACATTGACGATCATCGACATCACGAATTTGAAACATGGTGACATCTTAATACCTATAATCTTACATATAGTTGATCGTCAACCGCCAAAAAAGATAAGCGGCGGGAGATGTCCCCACCCATGTGGTTAAATGGATGGCCTGGACTGGAATTTGCTTCACATTAGATGTCCCCCAACCTAACAATACAGTTTGGATTCCTTGGCAAGTCAGTCTGAAGGATAAAACGATTCCTGCAGATATAGGAGCGGCCTGTCAAGGAGTGGTAGGCTAAACATTAACCTGTAAGTTTAAAAATCTTGTTTGGGTTGGAGACAAACGGTGTAATCCTGAACGAAAGGCGATTTTGAAAAGTTTGCGTTTTGTGATGAACCTAGTTTACTAGAAAAAATATGGGCAAGGCAATACAGTAAGCAGATAATAGCCACAATATAGTAAATTGTGGAACATGAAAGTCAGTCACAGCAATTTGGGGTAAAGAAAGACCTTAGCTAGCTTAGCCACACTGATCTTAAAGAAAGTAGAAACTTAAAAGGTACTAGCTCTGTCCGTTCTGCAGAGTGTAAGGCATCTGGTACATCACAAAACGCAAAAAGGCAAGGTAGAAACAGGAAAGTGTCTTACAAAGAGAAAGGAGAGAAAACAAGAGGCTATAAAGAATGAATGGCTAAGAGATAAAAGTTGCAGAAAACAGAAATTGCAATCCTACAGACAACTTTAGTCCCCAGAACTTCAAGCAGAGTAATATATGGTGGCTAAATTTAAAACATGCACGCTTCAAGTCGAAAATTATGTAAACCTAAGACAAAGATAGCAATAGATACAAGCGATTGATGGTAAGCTCAAGTTTAAGTTTTTGTGACACTACGAAACCAACAATGGTAATCCTTAACTTCAGATAATCAGAACAATAAGCCCTTGATTGATATCTTTTATGCTCAAAAAAACGAGGCAGAAGCCACACTGTAAGTATAAGAGCAATCGTTGCACATTATTTCAGTTAGTACGCAACTTCATAAAAGTATCTATCTAAGTTCTATATCTATATATATC